AACAAAACAAGGAAAAGTTGAAGAGGAATAACTCAAGATATCATAAATAGTTAAATGCCCATTGTAGCCAAAAAAGAACAGATACTAGTTGGAATAAGCAGATTCCATCCCACCCTTCATAGAAATAAAAGAATGATAGTGATATAGGGATAATTTTTTATATAATTTTTATGTGTCATTAAATAAGTAGATGCACTTAATATTATGAATTCTAAATGAATAGAAAGAGCCAATCTAATACAAAAAATTATTCCTAAGTCATCTTAATTACATGAAAGAATGGATGAAAATCATTTACAAAAGTCATCACGTGTTGAAAAACAAGGGTCAAATTTCTAAAAGGTGAAAAAGCAAAACAGAAATGAATTGCATGAAGGTACAGAGCTTGACTAAGATTTTAGAGGGGCTGCAAAACTTTTTTTCTATTAGAAATAAATATATTAGTGTTATAAATGATAGGATAAAAATAACATACATAGATAAATTTACTAAGTATTCCATCTACAGTATTCTTTATTAAAAATTTGTACCAAATTAAATTTTTTTAATTTCAAGACAAACAAATATTTTCCTCTTCAACACTGTTTTTATCCCATAAGCCCATCTTCTTTTTAAAGTCTATTCTATATGTAATTAAATACCCAAAATGATATATTACTTCCTTGTAGCTCAAATTAGTTGTATGTAAATTAATCAACAATTAAAGAGATTAAGTTAATTAATTGCTCCTACAAAAAAGCACTACACAAAATAAAAGCTAAAAGAGGAAGTGCATTCAATGAAATAATTGATCAAACACCTGATGTGTATAACAATATATATATATATATACTCTTCCGTAACTCAGGGGCCATAACCCCCCAAACCCTAAGTATCCTCTGTCCTTGATTGCAAGAAGCGGATACAAACACCAAGAAAAACAAATACACACTTACCTTCCATGTTAGCAGAGACAAGGCATAATGGATGCACCAGCAAGATCAACCCCAGGAAAACCAAAGCCCTAAACTCCCCTTTCCTCTCCATTATAAAACTCACCCTGAGACTTCACACTGGCAAGCCACTCAATCCCCAAACAAAACCAATTAAAACTCAATTTTCTTTAGGAAAACATTAATTCAGCTTTATTGGGCAACTGTTAAAAAACAAAAACCAAAATTTAATAGAAGAAAGAAATGAACTAGCCTCTCTTGCTCAGAAACTTCGTTTCCTAAGTCAGGGAAGTGTTTGCGTCTATTAGAAAGAAGGAAAGAGGAGGGAAAGAGAGTGTTTTTATTTTGGTTAAATTTTCAATTTGGTTCCTCAATTGTTGTATAATCTTTGATTTAGTCCTTAAATTAAAAAAATCCTTGATTTAATTCTACTATTTACCAATTTGGTTACAAGTTGGTTCTTACATACAAAAGTAAATGATGTGTTATATTATTAATGTGA